AGGCTGAGAGCAGTGAATTCATTTTTTCCTGGATGTACTACATCTAACGTACATGAGCAATCAAATGTTTAGGGCTTGTTCAGTAGGCCTAATCATGTGACAGGTAAAGGCCCAAATATTAAACAAGCGCATGTCTAAACAGTCAGAAGAATTTGGTGCCATTGATCTGGACTGATGGTCCTTTCTTTGGGCAAAGAGGTAGAAGAGATTACAGATCCAGAATCCTTCTAATCTTATTTTTAATGATACTGTGAGTGGCAAGGGAAAGGGATAAAATTTAGCTACTTCCAAGATGCACGCTGGAACGGCACTGATGGCACTGTCAGTAGCTGTGTAGCCCTCATCAAAACTCTTCTCTCTGAGACCTACTGAAAATGGGAATGGCTAAAATGCTATTACTGCTGCCTGTCATACCACTCACCTCTTGTTTCTTTGTTCTTCCCCGTATGCGAAACATTCAGGTAACACCTGTGAAGAGCTGAGAGCAGGACCAGATAAGAGGAAAATAGCCCTGCTTTGAGTAGACTTGGACCAGATGACCTCCTGAACCCCTCCCAACCTAAATTATTCTACGTTTTTATGATACAGTTCAGGAGTAGATGGGACGGTGGGTCAAAACTCTTAGACAAAAGATGCAGAAAAGAAAACAGTAAGTGTATAAACATGAGATCCTAATGAACCCTGATGAATGCCCAAGAGTGGGTTCCAACTCTATGCATAGTAAAACAAGTGAGGTATCTCCGATACAGAAGCAGTTGATACAAGCTGATTTTTGTTTAGCCAGAGAGAGACCCTACTCTTAAACCGAGCACAAAACTCGTTCTTTTTGTGTGTCTTCAGTGGTGGGATCCCGATTCACTATGGTCTCTCAGGGACTACAGCAGCCCAAATAGTTAGTAACAATTATAACATACACCTGTAAAAAGAGATTCCCTAAGCAGAGGCAATCTATGAATTCAGTGCATGGAAAGCAGGGTGACTTACAGTCATCCGGCCGCACACAGAAGAGCAGAGCACGTCCACCAGGGGCAGTGACGATGTCAGTAGGATAAGGGGTGTTAGATCTGAATATGAGCGACTTTTCCACGCACACCTGGCTGGCAGACCACAAGCAGACTGTTAACGAGGCTGTTCCTGCATAGTTTCTTATTTTATATTACTAAATGCCCGCAAAAGATCACAGCGTTCCTTTCCATCTGCTAACATAAGTTATTGTGCAACTGCACTGATAACCAGAAAGCCACCCTCTCCACCGCAGTAATTTTGTGGATACTATCTATTCGTATATCCAGAAACCG